GGAGGTAAGGTTACCACCGGAGGACGAGAAAGGCCGAGGGGCATGTTCATCTTGGGGAAGTTCAGGAGCGTGATGAAGACTGAGGAGGGCGAGGTCAAGGTGGTGTCCGGATACAGGTGGAAGGGTGATCCGAGCCCAATGCACATTGGACTCGTCGATATGGAGCCCAACACCCTCCTTGTTCCGCAGTACGTTGATGCAAATCTCGTTATCTTTGTGCGCAGAGGTATGTCTATTATTTATTTCGTGTCAACTTAACTTTGTTTTTTTAAGCATTTTAGGTGAGTTTTACATTAAATTTTGGTAATTTTATTTCTATGCACCTTTCTTCATTCCAGTAGCGATCTTAGTTGCTAATGAGATGTTATAGTTTTTAGGCATTTAAATGATTTTCTGTATCAAATTTTTTATACTTGTATAATTTCATAAAATGGTTAGGTAAGATGCTCAAATGTTGTTAACTGCATGAATCATAATCCCCCTCGAAAATGGATCCCTGACTAGTATATGCATAATGTGTAGACGAAAATGTTTGAGGGTTTGATTGAAGCATGAGATGATTTCGATCGATGGTGATTTGTTGCAGGGCATGCGAAGATGGGGTGGATCTGCAAGAAGGGTAAGATGGCCGAGAGCAGACTTAGGGCCGGCGATGTCACCGTCATCCCTGCAGGCTCGGCCTTCTACCTCATCAATGACTGCAAGGACGAGAGACTGCAGGCCATTGCAAGCATCGATTCGACGGAGACTCTAGGATTCACTACTTACCAAGTAATTAGCACCAACTTTAATTAATTAGCACCAACGTAATTGGATATTAATTTCTTGTTAATATATAGCACTTCACCTTTCGTTTGTTCTCAGTCATTCTTTATCGGTGGAGGACGGGATCCGACTTCAATCCTGTCAGGATTTGATCCGATGACTATCGCGTCAGCCTTCAATGTAAGCTATATATATGACTCGTTACTCATTTGTGGGTGACCTTTTTTTTTTTTAACTTGCGACTAATTTCTTGTCCAAAATAACATGTTTTAAACATTGTTTTTAGCCTCTATAATGCTTTTTTTTTTATTTGGTGAAATCCATTTTCTTCATTCACAAACGTCTATTATATATCAAAAAATGAGAACAAGTGCATGCAAAGCCCAAAAATGTTATGAGTGTTAAGCTTGTGGGGGAAAATATATTCTGGCTGTAACAACCCTAACTTGTGTCTCCATAGGTCACCATGGAAGAGCTAGGGTTCATGATGAGCCAGGCAGGCGGTCCGATAATCCGCATGCACCCTCAACCTGAAGACGCAAATAAGCCCAACGAAGACGACGATGAAGACAGTACTACTAAAGGATCGATATGGCAAAGGATTTTCAACTTCATCCTCGGTGGGAGTCATCACCGTCATCATGGGAAGAACAGCTCCCTCAAGTCATCTCATGCTTATAACCTCTATGATAAGAAGCCGGACTTCAGGAATAGCTATGGATCGAGCGTTGCTGTCGATGAGAGTGAGTATGCCCCTCTGAAGCACACGGGCATTAGCGTGTACTTCGTCAACCTCACCGCGGTGAGTTTTTCACTCTTTCGATACTAATTTGGACTCAAGTTTGTTTAGGACGTTATTATGAAGTTCTTGCAATTGTTATTTCCAAAATTTGTTAGCTTACAAAACTATTTTGAACTTGAAAGTAACAGCTGAAGGTTTGGAAGGTTACAAGACATGAACAAAGGATATTTATCTTATTGTGTGTGCAGGTTGCACTTGTATAGTTATAAAATAATGCATCAAAATTTCTACTGAACAAGAAAATTTTACTCGATCTGAAACGATGGGAAATTATTAAAGGAAAAATATCTACCTATGTATTGCGAAAGACCAGTATTTTTTATTAAACGCGATAGAAAGCGCCCTTTTCCCTTGTTCATCAAATACTTCCCATATTTGGTCTCGGAACCTGTCATTTGAATGTTGGTCATTGAATCTTATATTTCTAATGAAAATAAATTAATAATTCTTTTATTGAGTGTAGTGAATAATATTGATTTTCTAAAAACATCTAGTCATAAGGACATCATCTTCGTAATTTTGCCCAGAAAGATACGATGCAAGAGTAATTAAATACTAAGTATAATGTAAATGTTATATTCACGTTGTACTACATCACCCGAAAGTGTGAGGATCATTAAAAACTCATAATTGCTGTTAAAAATTCACAAGAAAGTATCCTACTTTTTTATTTTTGTGTGTCTTTTAATACAAAATAAAATAGAATTTGTGACATCATTAGCTTACTCGTGTCAATACTTAATAGATCAATGTATTTAAAAAGTCCCCTTCCTATTCTTATTCCAAATACTAAATTGTATTCGAATAAGTAGTGGGATATATAATGTATTTCAAGTCAAATTCAAAGGTGTTCGACGAAATTCCACTCTTTGACTGCAGGGCTCAATGATGGCACCTCACGTCAACCCCTCCGCCACCGAATACGGCATCATCCTCGATCAAACTGGGGGTCGAATTAATCCCCCCACGAAAGATGAGAAAGGGAAAGCCCCTATCACCGACCGCATCGGATTGCGAGTCGAAATACAAGAGCCCGTTCAATTTTTATGTTCACAAAAACGTAAACTTGAACGGGCCACTTTTGAGAAAACTAACAAAACATCCCATGCCAAAGGGGAAGCACACTCATCTGAGGATGATGGTGTTTTACCAAGGAGCACATGCCAACACTCTATAGGTTGCTCCAGTTACCAAGCTGATGAGCTGTACTATAGAGCTGGTGGTATGGGGAAATCTCGAAAGAAGTATGTGCAGAACATGGAGTCTCGCTGCCCGTGCGCCAACATAATCAAGGCAGTGCTATCTGAATGCTCCTGTACTCAAACCCCAAGAAGAATTTCGGTATTTGACAGAATTTCCACCGGAACGTCTGAAGCTAAGCCTAGGCGTGTTTTTTTTTTTTTTTTGGCTTTTATGTGTGGGTTTAGATTATTATCGGTCTTTTGTCGGCTTGGAATTTTGAGGAAAAGTGTGAATAAAGATACATTTTAGTTAATTCGGTTCTCGTTTTTCACTTATAGAGCAGTAAAAATATGTTGAAGGGTGCACTGTTGTTTAGCGCTCTTTTTACGGGTCAAAACATGAGCGTAGCAATATTTACCTTTTTCTAAATTCATTTTAAATTCTCTGCTAGCCAGTGAAATTTAAAATTTTATCATGTCAGAAATCAATTTTACTATATCAAGACTTTGAAATTGTGGTAAAAAAAAAGGTTTATAATTTTATACCTAACAAAAAGTATGATGTGACACTTAAGTATGCCTCATAAAAATATATCTAAAAAAGTGACGTGAATGATTTGACAAAAGAATAAGGTCTATCGTTAACTGAACAGGCATGAACAATTCGAAAAGAAACATTATAGAATCCCAAAACCTCACCACGTACTAATGAAAATATGCGTCCCCTGACAAGAATCATGCACACGGATACCTGAGAGTGCTGAAAGAAAATGGAAATGCAACTGTACACGTTTCAAGCCCCGCGGGACTCGCTGAACCTGTTCAAGCCCCAAGCTTCGCCGGGCCTCGTCGGGCCGGGCCGGGCCGAGCCCTCCTCCTACAAAAAACCGGCCCAAACAATCTCCGCAAAGCTCTCGCCACCCTCCACGTCCAAGTCTTATTCCCCCTCTTCGCCGCACCGGGGAGCCAGTACGGCCGCCGGAGACGCCCGGGCCAAGGGCGACCTGATCGTGAACCGGGCCGCGGCTGGGTCGGATAAACTTCGTCTGAGCATGGCCCGGTTCAACTGAATTTCAATGGTGAGCGCTCGAACTCATCCAGCAGACCGCCCGACGCGTGGCCGTAGCAAACGTCGAGGCTCCGCCTTCTGCATTCCTCCCCCTGCTCATCGCCGTTAATGCTCGTGCGGTACTGTTTTTAGTGTTTGGATATGGATATACAGGAAAAGGCTTCTGTTGGATCGAGGGGACGAGCCTTTTATGTTTTCCCGTCCCTTTGATGAATTGACGTGCTTGGGAGGCCAAGCATCTGATTTGCGCTGGCCCGGATCATGAGTTAGGATGAATGTTTGATTATTAAGCTGGTTCAGGTTTGTGATTAGGATGAGTTTCACGAAACACCCCTGGACTTTGGGGGTGTTTTGCTCATACGCTCCCGGCCCGTGAAATTTTTTTTTCTCACAAAACCGTCCATCTGGACTTTGGGGACACATGGTCAATCTAGTAGTAAAAGTTTAAACTTCAGAGGAGGATTTGAGGGACACCCCGGGATGCAGATTTGTTGGATAAAAAGTTCATGGGTTTATGTTGTGAAAACCACAACGAAAGTTTTTTTTTTTTTTTTTTTTTGGGGTGGGGGGGGGGGGGGGGGTTGTGAAATTTACACTTAGTTTTAATGACATAAAGCCATTCGATCAATCAACTTTCACTCGTAGAACTATTAGTACGCAAAGTTTATTAGTTTTCTCACCTTTATATCCACATGTGTTTTTCTTAAAAAAAAAACTTTGATAAGTCAGAATTTCAGCTTCATTTTGCTTTGGTATCCTATCTAAATTTACTTATATTTTCTATTAAGATTGTATTACATTAGGTCTATTTTACCTAGGGGTGAGCACAGTTCGGTTCAAACCGAAAAAACCGACCGAACCGACCCGAACCGACCCGAAATAAACGGTTTTAGGAATTGGGCGGTTCGGGTCGGGTTATAAACTGCTCAAACCGAAAGCACCGAACCGACCGAACTGTTTATTGTTTCCCCAATTCAGCAATTCTCAAACACCCCTACCCGTATACTATACCCGACCCGTCCCCATTCCACAAACCCAAAACGAATCAAAACTCTAACCCTAACCTCATTTGTCATTTCCTCTCCCAGACTCTTCTCATTCTTCTCAGCCGCCGCCCTCATTTCCCTAATTTTCACTCTCTCTCATTCTTCTCAGCCGCCAGCCGCCACCCGCCAGCGCTCCGCCTCCTTAGTCTTCAACTCTTCATGGATCCGTCTCCGGCTCAGGATCTATCTCCGGTCATGGGGGGGGGGCATCCGCACCCGTCGCCGTCGCCGAGGCCGAGGTTTTAGCTTCTGAACTTATTTTTGTTGGGTTTATTTTACTGATCTCAGTTCTGAACTCGAAATCTTTTTTTCAAAGTATTATAGCTTTGTTAGTTCAATTTGCTCAGGACCAAACTGTCAATTGAGCCAAGGATTCGGAAATTGAGCAATTAGATCAATCAAGTATCCAAGCTTCTGTTTATATCTAGATTAAAGTATTATAGCTTTGTTAATTTATCATGTATCTTTTTAATATTGTTACAGTTTAACAAACAAATTGATATTGTAATCTGGATGTTGTTTAACCGCTTTAAGGAGGCAGGGAGTTGTACATTTAGCAATCCAGCTAGCTGCTGCAACCATGTGCATATCCTAGAACTTGATTGCTGATAGCCTGATACCACCTTCATGTAAAACTAAATGGTGGAAAGGAACCACTGCCCCAGTTGCTGCTGTCAGTGTATCTTTAATGCTATGAGTTCCCCGAATCAATAAGAGAAAGCTTTTTAATACAGTTTAACAAACAAATTGAAACTAAGTGAACTGTTGAAATAATTTGTGCCTTTGATTGTTATACTTGATGAAGTTAGAACCGAACAAACCGAACCGAACCAATTTGCAACGGTTCGGTTCGGTTTTGAATTGTAGATGGTTCGGTTCGGTTGTTCAAATTTTGGTAAAAACCGATCCGAACCGAACCGTGCTCACCCCTAATTTTACCCATTTGCTAGTGATCTAAACAATTAAATGTATCTTTCAAAAGTATCCAAGAAGGACATCACATGCGGGTAATATAGGTGGTTGGGAAGTTCCTACATGACTCCTATGGCCTTGGATTCAATTCCGATATAAAAAAAAAGGACATCGCAAGTTAAGCCTGTGATATAAATTTAATAGGAAATGTAACCAATCGCAAGTTAAGCGTGTGATATAAATTTAATAGGAAATGTAACCAAGGACCAGACGCAAGCACCAGAATGAAATGAGATTAAAATTTTGAGTATCATTAGGTATAAAAGTAGAAAAAGGGTAAATGTTTGGGCACTAAAGTGAAAATGAGCCTAACTAAAATATAAGAACAAGAAAAAACTCTTTTACTTCCTCTTGAAAAAGGAGGCAAACTATAAAAGGCGAGCTCGCGAGTTCACTCCCCGAGAGTTACCGGGTCCATTCTCTTTCCTCTTTCTCGCTGGTTTGGTGAAATGGAAAACTCCCAAGATTCTCTCTAGTCTTCTTCTCCTTCCTTCTCTCGATCGATCGCGATTCCTTCCCCCAATTATAAAACCCTAATTCTCACTCCTTTCAACTGCTGAAACCCTAATTAGATCGGATCT